ACCTGCCCCACACCTCATCTCATATATGACACAAATGGGGCTGATGGGCATGGTTTGAGGAAATGGCCCGGTAAGCCAAATGAGGATGCCTGGTGGGTCAAATTTTGCATCCCTACCTGCCCCACACATTTGGGATACCCCTGCTTGAACAAGGCATCTGAGAGTCATGGAGGGTTTTGCTTAGACTAGGAGTAACTTTATTCAAATAGCTTCTGGGAATCCCTAATTTGAGCCTGCTGTGGATTCCAAATTTGAGATGGATTGAAGTTAACTCTGAATTCTACCTTTGGTTAAAAAACAACAACAACCCTATGGTTGTCTTCCCTCCCCAAAGACTGAAGGGGAAAGAAAACACCATGAAATAGCAGTTCTGCATTTCCTGGTAGTTTGTGGATAAACAGACAAAATTCAGCATTCAGGAAGAATTTCCTTTCTCTCTTTCCTTCCTGAAACAGCCACCCAGATTACAGTATCTTGTGACAGACCAGCATTTGAGAAGAGATGGAAAGATCAGTCTATTTCAGTAGTTTCATTTTCTCATTTTTCTAATCTTAATTCTCCTCATTTTTCTGCAATTTGTGGCTGAATGGGGATTTGAAGCCAGGTCTCTCCCATTTTAGCCTCATAATCTAACCACTAACCCATAATAATTATATTGTGTATCTTCCACTCGCACCCCCACCCAGCATCCCTCCCTCTCAGTCCCTGACATCACCCACTAGTCACACACACACGTAATCTCCAATAAATCTCTGGAGCAACATCTCTGTCTTCTTTGTTTGTACAGCATCTCGAACAATTATTCACCGACACTGATTGGGGTCACTGCCTTCTACTGGAGCACACAAACACCACCACTAATGATTAATAACGAAAGACAGCGGGAGCGTGTCATCCTTGTATCAGCGGGCTGCCATGCACACAGCACAGAAGGAGCACTGCACTTGAACTCTGCTTTGACCCTGAATGCAAACTTCCTTTCTATTGGATACATAAAAAAGAAAAGCCTCAAAGACAAGCAAATATCCATTGCCGAATGCAAAACTGCTAAGGCTGCAATTGCAGATTCGCTTACCTGGGAATGAAGCCCGCTGAACTCCATGGGATTTACTTCTGACTAGACAACTGCAGGATTGTGCAGTAAGGGTATAAAATTCAAAGTGCTTGTTAATCCAAAAACAGAACTGCAACATTAATGCCACATTGGTTCTATTTAAAAGATGGACAAGCCGCCTTTTACTGCATTTACTCTCATAAGGTGGATTCTGTGTGCAATATTCAACTACCCTCTGCAAATAACATCAAACATATTACAAAATCATCATACTATGCTGATAAATAAAACTTATATACCCAGCAATTATAAAACACCTAATCAAACCAGCACGATACCATTTAAAGCAAGCGAAGCCCTTTAGAAAGTTAAAATCATGTTGCTGGGTTTGGGAACCTTTTCTAGCCAAAGGGCTACTATCAGGAGCTGGAGTCAGGAAAACAACAAAGCATCTGATGCCAGTGAAGTTAAAATTCAGAGAAACAAACCAGTGAGCCTAGTGATCACAGCAAGCTTTCCCAGTAGGTCTTTCCCAAATGAAGCAGTTGTGAGGACTGAAGGTCCCTGCTTTCCCACCTTTCTCTATGGCTCCTTCCTCAGTTCATTTCCCAGCAGCCTAAGGCTCCATCATCTTGCCTCTCATTGCTCTGCTTTCTACATTTCTCTGCATGTCCTGGGAGACTGGGGAGAGGGGAGCTGGTCACAGCAGGAGGGGGAGACTCCCTAGATTCTTCAGTAGCCTGCCTCATCTCTGTCTTCTGGTCCCACTCCTCTCCTGCTTCTCAATCTGGACTGCCCTCTGACACAACCTCTTCCTTCTCACTAAACTCTGTTACCTCTTCAGCTTCCAACACCGCCTCCTCCCAGTCTGCTCCCTCTGACCACTCATTGTCATCCCACCACCAATCCCCTGGCTCTGAGCCTTCTTTTCCAGGTGGCTCACTTGGGCGTTCCCCAGCTGGTGCCTCCCACAACTCCCTTCCCCCTCCCCCTCTCTCACCTTGAACCTCTCATGACTCCACCAAATCCACTCTGGTGGGATGGGAGAACCCCCCAGTACAGCATACGGTGGGAGGGGAAAAAAAGGTAAAGGTACCCCTGCCCGTTTGGGCCAGTCTTACCAGACTCTAGGGTTGTGCGCTCATCTCACTCTATAGGCCAGGAGCCAGTGCTGTCCACAGACACTTCCGGGTCACGTGGCCAGCGTGACAAGCTGCATCTGGCGAGCCAGCGCAGCACACGGAACGCTGTTTACCTTCCCGCTGGTAAGCGGTCCCTATTTATCTACTTGCACCCAGAGGTGCTTTAGAACTGCTAGGTTGGCATGCGCTGGGACCGAACGACGGGAGTGCACCCCGCCGTGGGGATTCGAACCACCGACCATGCGATCGGCAAGTCCTAGGTGCTGAGGTTTTACCCACAGCGCCACCCGCGTCCTACGGTGGGAGGAAAGTGGGGATAATTCTATCTGGCAATCAGAAATGCTTGCACTGACAGAACAATCAAAATAGGATGACATCAAATTTCTCCCTCTCTTGTGCCACCGATCACACTGGCAGACATACAAGAAGGGCCTCAGAGGTTGATGTTGTGGTAATTTATGGCCTTGCTCTTCTAAATGACAGATGTGGACAACATGAACTCCATCTACAGTGGTACCTCAGGTTACAGACACTTCAGGTTACAGATGCTTCAGGTTACAGACTCTGCTAACCCAGAAATAGTACCTCAGGTTAAGAACTTTGCTTCAGGATGAGAACAGAAATCATGCGATGGCAGCGGGAGGCCCCATTAGCTAAAGTGGTACCTCAGGTTAAGAACAGTTTCAGGTTATGGACGGACTTCCAGAACGAATTAAGTTCTTAACCCGAGGTACCACTGTATTTCCTATGAGCCTCACCCTTGGAAGCCGGCTTGTATCTGTTATAGGAGCTTAAATGAACTGGTAACTACAACACTATGTTGCAATTCAGAAGTGCTGGGATGTGATGTTGGCCTATGTGTAGTCTGAGCCAGGCACATAGGTACATTTTGACAAAGTGCTGTAAACCTTTTGCCTGTCGTCCCATTTTGAACCAAATCTTTTTCTTCAAAGAACTTTTGGCTCAGCTTTAATTAACACACACTTTTTCTTTATTTACCTTATTGATAGTGGGTAAGGGAAAGTTCTTGCTGAGACCTCCTTAATTAAGTGTCTGTCCCAAAGTCTATTAATTAGAACTAGAAGCTCTACATTGATATCAATGGACTCTAAATCAAGGTCCAAATTCTCACCTGTAACCCAGCCATTTAAACTGAGATTCTTAAAGAATGTCATCATGCAAGATGGTTGTGTGTGTGTGTGTGTGTGTGTGTGTGTGTGTGTGTGTGTGTGTTTTAAACTTCAGACTTGCACCTGCAAGATCCCCAAATGGTTGTTCGGATAATGAATTCTAGTATCAAGCAAACTGATCTGAAGAAGCGGCTGCTGACAACTGATTAGCTGAGCCTTCTGTTTCCCACAGGTCACTTGGACCACTTGGAAGGAATTAGTGCAATATGATGGCTGCTGGACTGGATTGCTGTTTAATAAGTCCTGCATGCATACAATAGTGTATAATATAATGTGAATAATAATGTGTATAATAACACCTGAGCCTTGGCTCATTCATTTTCAGATGTTTGAAGGATGTAGCCTCCATTCTTCAAATGCTTAAGTGACCTGGTGACTGTAGCACTAGACAATATCTCAATGTGAAATCGGGTCCTTGCAATTGGAAAACTAAAACTTGAGATTAGTAAGTTTGAAAACCACTGCTCTTTTTCCTGGTTCCAATTTGCTTCTCTGGTAAGTCTCTGAATGCTGATCTTCTCTTGTCTGTCTAGTGCTTCTTCTTTTCACATTGCAACCCAGTCATAGCCATCTTTACTTATAGGACCATAGGAAGGAAGCTCAAACTATTTAGCTCAGTATTGTTGACTGTGATTGGCAGCAGCATTCCAAGGTCTCATGTAAAGGCCTTTCCCATTACCTGCTTGGTGACCCTTTTTGACAGGACATGCTAGAGATAGAGCCTGGAGTCTCCTGCATTCAAAGAATGACTCTCAACAGCCCCAGCAAGCATGGACAATGGCTATGGATGATGAGAACTATAGTTCTTCAAGGGCCAAAGACTCCCCACACCTGTAGAGCAGCCCTCATTCTGCTGAGACTGTTTTCCTTGGGGATAATTGGCTTTGAGGGACGCGGGTGGTGCTGTGGTCTAAACCACTGAGCCTAGGGCTTGCCGATCAGAAGGTCGGCGGTTCGAATCCCCCACGACGGGGTGAGCTCCCATTGCTCGGTCCCTGCTCCTGCCAACCTAGCAGTTCGAAATCATGTCAAAGTGCAAGTAGATAAATAGGTACCGCTCCGGTGGGAAGGTAAACGGCATTTCCGTGTGCTGCTCTGGTTTCACCAGAAGCGGCTTAGTCATGCTGGCCACATGACCCGGAAAAACTGTCTGCGGACAAACATCGGCTCCCTCAGCCAGTAAAGCGAGATGAGCGCCGCAACCCCAGAGTCGTTCGCGACTGGACTTAACTGTCAGGGGTCCTTTACCTTTTTTAAAAAAAAAAATGGCTTTGAGGCCACAAATGTGTGCAGAATTTGCAGGATTCCTTCGCATGCTTCCTGATTTTCTGAGCCAGTTCATCCATCTCTCTCTCTCTCTCTCTCTCTCTCTCATATCTGTTTCTAGTTTCCCTCACACCTACCTACTTCCCTATATCTGTGTATGCTTTCTCCCTGTCCCTCCCCAACCTTCAATTAGCACAAGTCAGAGCTGATCACTTGAAGGTGGCTGCCACCCTTGCTTTAGCTCCACCCATTCCCTTCTTGCTGTGTTTCTCTCTCCTCAGGCTCCTCCCACCATGTGTCTCACTGCACAGCTTTTTTTCAATATGACTTCACAATGTAGCAGCTATACTCACATGACTCAGAACAAGACAGGATTCCGAGAGGGTGATCTATAGAGATGGGTACGGTGTTGTTGTTGTTACTGGGCTGCATGAAATTAGACCAGGTTCACTCCTTCTCCCCCTGTCCCTGACTTGGATACTACTTTGTATGGAGTCTGGTGTCTGGCTGTTGCTGCTCTATAATTGGAGCTGCATCTTCTGGCATGATCCCGACCTCCTGGCTTGGCTGATTCAGGGCCTCTCTAGAAAACCTATTTATTGAGCATTCGTCCTGATTTGTTTGCACAATGCTTGCACGTAGGTCAAGTTACATCTGACTTTTGAGCAATAGTTTTGATTTGTTGATAGGACAGTTGTATGGCAATGAGGATTCTTTCTTATTTGTATCCAGGGTGTTTATAGGTCTTCCCATTAGTCATTCATCCCCTACTTTTAACCCACTTTAAATGCAGAAGCCTAAAGTTCTGGTATGTTCTTGAATCCCTCCTGCAAAATATGGACAGTCTGGAGGCACTCTCAGTCCTGATTAGGGTTGCAGATTTTCCAAAGGTTGATATAAAGGTTAAAGGGGGGGGGGAAGCATGGCACTCTGTCCCCACACCCGCGCAAAGGCCCTACATTCAGATGAAACTCTATTTCTGCAAGACACTATTCCAAAATACTATTTATTTCTGCAGGAATGTTCTGAGGTTTCACACAATGCTTTCTTGTAGAAAATACTTTCTGAAACATTTTTGTAGAATGGCTTTCAATTCTTGTCTTTCAGCTGCAGATCCATACAAAATTACATCTTCTTTTGATACAAGAAAAAATGTATGTGAGTGTGCGTGTGTGCATGTGTGCATGAACGCACTCACTTGCTTTCACACAAGCTTTCAAAAGCAAAAAAAGAAATCCTGGACAAAGAGGTCTGGCAAAACAAAATTTCTAAAAGTTATGTGTCACATTCAGTATTGTTTTGGAAGGGGTAATGCTTAAATATGTTATTGCTATGAACATCCCATCTTTGCTACTGCATGTATGCATCTGGAGAGAGAGAGAATTCTTATAGCGATAAGGAATTCTCTTCAATTTCATTTGATAGATTTGGTATGAGGACATAATAAATGTTTTAGACCAGACAGAACGGCAGTGGGGAGAAGAAATGAATGGAAGAACAGAATAAAGCTGTTAAAAAAGAAAAGGAAAAGAGAGAAAAGAGAACAGAAATAATGGGGGTGGTGAATATGGGATGGGGGAATCAGAAGTGGAAGAATGTGGTTGTTTGAAAGCCTGAGTCAGAGGTGAAAGGGTGAATGGAAAGCCGTTTCTGCAGTCAACGTAACTGAGCTTGACCAGGTGTGAGACCATTTATCAAGCATTTAATGTATTGTGCTTTCTTTCCACGAGGAGTCTCATTTCTGGTCATTCCATAGTCCTTGACCTTGGACCGCAATGGGCTTCATGCAGCTCTGTGATAAATGATCATTTCTGAAACAGCATGCATCACCTCTCAATCGCTTACACACACACACACACACACACACACACACACACACTGCAACCCCCTTCCCATGTTATGTCACACGACTCAGCCTATTTGTAAATCACTCATCAAATGCAACACACCTTGATTCCCAGTTCAAGCAGAAATGTCCCACGCAGTTCCAAAGAGCGGAATGAAGCTGAACTGAGGCTGCAAGATCACACAAAGAGGAAGGGGCTGAAGCAGACACAGCTGTAGCTTGATGGCTGAATGCACAGAAAAGTGCTCTTACTTGTTCACCTTACTGGGGCAGTGGGACTTCGCTTGTCTTTGAAGCAAAGAAAATAACATAACAAGTGTAAGGGACTCTTCAACAAGAGCTTTCAGAGTTATCAAGAAGAAAACACAATAAATTTCAACATTTTATTTGTTTGTTTGTTTGTTTAAAGTTACCTATAAGCTGCCTTTCATATCTGTAAAAAACATCAGTTAACAGCGATGCCAGGGGACAGAATTAACAACCAAGGAAATCTTGGGTGAAGAGGTATGTTTCAGTAGGGCTGTGTGCAGCCTTCCTGATCCATCCCGCAGCTCCAATTTGGGGGTCTCCAATTAGGCTGACCCACCCTGAGAGAGCCTAGGGACCACCCACCCTTGATCCATTCCCGAATTGGTTCAGTAGTCAGGGCTAATTCTTAATTCAGGTAAAAACAACCTAATGGCCATATTGCCAATAGAGGGTGGGGGAAGGAGATGTTGAAATTCCTCCCCACCTCACCCCACAAACCGAGAGTGGGGGCATTTCATTCTGCAGGGTTCTCCTTCACAAATGACTTCTCTGCAGGCAAGTCACTTGCGAGTGAGCACCTCACAAGGCAGGATTGACTCCAGGGAAGAAGGGATTGTTCCCCATTCCAGCCTGTATTCATCGCACGCAGCACTGTTTCCATTCCACAGCGGTTCACCTTCTGCCAAAACCAACGCTAATTGCCTTGTTGTCTACTGTAGTGAAATCACTTAACTGTTGTTGTTGTTGATGTTGTTGTTGTTGTTGTTGTTGTTGTTGTTATTTTGTCCTGGAATGCAGCACTTTATTTCTTTAATTGTTGTAGACAGCATAAGGTTGTAGACCTTAATGTTGTAGTTGACAGTATAAGCTTGGAGGAGAAGGGGGGTGGAGGGAGAGAGGGGGGTAGTAAACTTTCGTTCTTTTACATACTGTATGTGCAAGGTTTAGATAATTACATGGTTTACATATGCTATATTGTCATGACGTTATTCTACCCCGTTCATTTCAATGCAATGGAAACAGACTGCAAATGAAGGAAAATATAGCCAAGTGCATATCATTTGTGGACTAAAGCAACAACTATGAATGTCAATAGCTTGTTTTTGTTTTTGTTTTTTATTATTATTATTAAAATTTGTATACCTTTAACCATAGATCTCAGGGTGCAGATCTCGCATTAGTGCAGAACATAAGCAAAATAAGTTTCAAAGGCACTACAGGTTCTACACATAGCTAAGCAAGAAAAGATACTGATCCAACAATCAACACACACCTTTTCATCCTGTTAATGTATATGAGAGTGGAGCAGGAGCAACTTCAGGGTGGGAAGTGAGGCCATTCTTTGGACTGGGCCAGCAAACAGGAACTCCTTCCAGAGAGCTGAGTCTCAGCTGTCCATTCATGGCTGCATTGGCATCTGGGTGATCTAGGGAAGAAGACCTAGGGGACTGCGAACCAGACTATGCAGCAGGGTCCTCCTGAAAGGATGGGTGAGGGGGAGCCACTGGTGGATCTGGAGGTGGTTCCGAGACAGGAGGTGAGACTAACAAAGGAGCAGGGAGTGCTGAATCATGGCAAAAGTGAACTGGATTACTTTAATGGGGAATGCTGGGAAAACTCCTGTTACCATCCCCCCCCCAGCATTTATAGAAAAGATATTTAAGGTAGCATGTTTTTAAGAACAACAACACTCTATAACAATAGCGGGGGGGGCTGTATTGTTAATATAAAATATTTCCTATGTGTATATGTTAACATATATAGGACTTGCCGATCGCATGGTCGGCGGTTCGAATCCCCGCAGCGGGGTGCGCTCCCAGCGCCTGCCAACCTAGCAGTTCGAAAGCACCCCCGGGTGCAAGTAGATAAATAGGGACCGCTTACCAGCGGGAAGGTAAACGGCGTTCTGTGTGCTGCGCTGGCTCGCCAGATGCAGCTTGTCACGCTGGCCACGTGACCCGGAAGTGTCTGCGGACAGCGCTGGCCTATAGAGTGAGATGAGCGCACAACCCTAGAGTCTGGCAAGACTGGCCCGTAAGGGCAGGGGTACCTTTACCTTTATATGTTAACATGACCAAATTAGTGCTTTAAGGGGGGGACACACACAAGCAAAATAACTTATGCAAAGTAGATAGCATGAGTGCTGAATCAGCAGCTGGCACTGGGAAATGCATTGGCGGGGGGCACTTGTCTTACACAGGAGTGCTTAATGCATTTAAATGTGTACGCTCGGCTTTAAAGAAATACTCAGTTATTATGCACTGAAAGTAGCCAACCTTCAATCACCCAGCCCTTTTATTATTAATATATAGCAACGCACACACCCAACTTTGTTTGAGAGTGCTCTGCTCAGTAGATTTTTGTTCCCTGACAGTTCTCATAGTTCATCTGCCCTCCGTGACGCTCAAATCACTGAAAGGATTTCAAACCAACTTTTTGACATAAAATTAATCTTTTTGTCAACTTGCTGACTGAATGTTTGGAGAAGTTAGACACCATGTAAAAATGAAGGTGCACTAATCTCCGTAGTGTGTATTGTAATGGGTGACAGTGACTCCAGATCATTTTGTAACGCTGAGGCAGGTCTGCCAGCATAACATACCACGTAGAGCAGATTTAAGGATAAAGCAGAGGGCGGCAGGGAGGTAAGCTGCTCTAAGCTTCTTGGGCAAACAGTGGGATACAAATTTGATCAGTTGAATTTTGTGGCACTTGGTCCAGAGTTACTGGTCTGGATCCAGACCACATAGATATGTGCAATCCTATACATTTCTACTCAGAAATGAGTATCATTGGTTTCAATGGGGCTTACTCCCAGTGAGATTAGTGGGTATAGGGATACAGCCTCTAAGTTAGTCATAGAGATCCCAGTGAGATCACTGTGATGATGAATTTTTCACATTAGTTTCCAAAGGGACCTTAAGTTCACTTTATTTAATCTTGATCCAACCCATTCCACTGTTTTGTGATGATGCAGTATACTGCCACCACCCGTCCCCTGAACATATAATGCTCTATTAACCTAGATCATATGACTGAGCAGGTGTGTATGTGTGCTTGTATAGCAAAATGGACCAAGCAGGACCCATCTTGACTGATGCACACTTAATCTACTGGTTGAACAAATCCTAAGCATTGGTTTATTAGGGCCCAGCACAAACTTGTAACAAGTACCTCATCTCACACACCTACAACTGTTCCACCCTAAACATACAGTGTCCTGATTCAATAAATGAAAGTTTCTAATTCTGAAACTATGGCTTGAATCAAATGTAAGCATCCACAACAGTGTGGTAGAAAAGTGCCAGCATAAACCACAGTATAACTTGTAGAAAAGTAAATGTAGAAAAAGTAGGCTTGCATAAGATGCAGCACAAAGTCAGCTTTCTGTCAGCTCAAGGATTCCTGCAGATGCAACAGGACATCCCACAATCCACACATCTCCTAAATCTGTTCTGAGGATTCCTGAAATCCTGTGGATCAGATCTGGGAAGGGTTGGAAGGTAACCTAAGAGTCATCTTGTCCAACCCCCTGCAGTGCAAGTTTACGTTTTCTATATTGTACATTTTCCTCTGGAAAAACAATCTCTCAAAGGACTTGTTGATGGCATTTTACCATTGTACTGTTGAGAGTGTATTAACTTATGGTCTGTGTGTGTGATTTGGGAGCTGCATGGTCAGGGGAAAAACAATGCTGTCCAGGGTTGTAAAGACTGAGGAGAGAATAACTGGGTGCACTCTTCCCACCTTGGATCAAATCTATGCTTCCGGGTGCAATAAGAAAGCTGCAGAGATAGCGCAGGATAGTGCACACTCTGAAAGAAATGATCTATTTCAGCTTCTGCCTTCTGGCAGAAGGTACAGGGTTATAAAGACTAGGACTAGCCGCCTGAGAAACAGTTTCTATCCAAATGCAATTTTGGTTTTAAATGCAGTGTAAGGAGTCTCTATGGGAGTATATTGTATTTTAAAATGGGGTATCAGAGTTTTTAGAGGGCTAACCAGGTTGGGATAGCTGGGAAAGCAAGCTTGTTGGTTTGGAATGTCTTATGTAGATTTTCTTTTTCCAATTTCATTGTTCTGTATGGGACAATGACAATAAAGATTATCATATTGTATTGTATTGTATTGTATTGTATTGTATTGTATTGTATTGTATCGTACAAGTTATATAATGGTCTACAGTGGCACTTTCCTGACATGCTCCTACAACATCCACACTCTCTTGTTATTTCCTCCCTGAAAAAGACTACAAATTTGGTTGGTCCTAGCTGGTGCATTGCCCAAGTCCTTTTATTTCTCTCTGCTTAATCTGGTTTTATTTCTGGCTGCCTGATTTGTGCTTTATCTATAGTCAAATATGACACAATGGTGAATGCATGAACTAGGCACACATATTTTGAACCTGTAAATCAGCAGCACGGGCTCCCACTGCCCTTAGGATCAATGACCCCAATTATTTTGCTGCTTTGTCCTTCCCACCTGCTGTCCTTCTCTCTTGCCCATGCACAAGGAACTCGTGAGACTAGAACTTTTTGAGAAAGCATGCAAATTTTTCTATTCCTCACATTACAATTCCTGGTTTAACTGCACAAACACACACCTTCTGTGTCCAAGCCAATAACTCACTGTTGAGAATGCCACTGTTTTGTTCTAAGATTGTTTCTGATTAGCTCCAGAAATCTTGCAAGATACAGATATAAATATATAGATCCGAGGGAAGAAGTTTCCAGAAGTTTCTATAGTACCCTCAAACCCATTCAAACACCCATCATGGTAAGTAACCTTGGCTGGGGCCCCCTGTGTGACAACAGATCGAAGAAGGCGCAAACTCAGATCTGCTCCAATTTAACCTATGCTGCTTCACCTGCCTGCTTCCAGTGTAGCTGCCCCAAGGTGAACAAAAAGGGTTTTATAAAGCAAGGGAAACAGTTGCAGACCTCAGAATACACTGAGGTGGCTGTTGAAGGTACAATGCACAGAATGATTTGCCATGTAACTGAAGAGAAAGGATGCTTGTTCTGTACTTTCCTGAGCTCAGATTCCATCTCAACCATGTAATTTTGTAACATCTAAGTAGATTCTACCTGTCTTGTTTTCACTGCTGCCTTCTGCTGGAATTGAGTCTGAGACATTATGTAAGTAAACAATACTTTTATTCTTACATTACAGACTTCTGTGTGATTGTTTTGTTTAGAGGGATAATAGGGGGAAGATAAGTCTGCTAAAGCATCCTGACCAATTCCTAATAAGGTTAAGATACCTTGTCCCAGAAGTTTCCATGTTTGGGACTACAAAGGGATGGTAATCTTAAATTCTGCTAATTAGATGTTAAACTCACATAAGTGAGCAAGAGGAAGGATAAAAAAATAAATAACATCCTATCTGTGATGGGATGATGAGCTGCTTGTGCGTAAAATCGTATCCCCTCAGAGTTTGTTCAAGTCCACAAACCTCTGTCTGTGACAGAGCCCCTCAGACATGGCTACTCTAGTCACTAGCAGATTCCG